GTTGCCCGTCCACCCACAACGCCCGAATAATGCAAGCTGCGGAGACGCCCGAAATCGGTTAACGTTCAATGTGAAACTTACCCTGTTGGCGCCCGTGTGTCTGTTCACCCACACAGTTAACAACCTCTGAACGAAACTTCCAATCCGCAAGCATACACACAACGAGGATACTGAAATACCACCAAGGCACGTACTCTTGACGTGTGAATTCAGACAATGGGTACATATTGATAGCAGAAAAGCTGCCAACGAAGCAGAGTGGGGCCACCGAGACAACGCCAGCAAAATGCAAACCACTAAATGCGTACCACCGCCGTCTGCCTTTCTTGCCACATGGGCCTGGGCCAGGCTCAGCCATGTAAAATAATATACCACTGCGCAAAAGCCAAATGTCCCACATGATTGAGGTACAAAGGGCCAGATGGTTGAACAAATGCTGAAGTACAGAGTGATACCACTGAGACAACGAACAAATGCCAACCACCAAAGCTGCACAGACGTCTGCCTTACTTGCCGCTCGGGCCTGGGCCAGGCTCTGCCCCCAGCGATGCCGTGCATGATGTGCAGGACCGCAAAAGGAAATATGACTGCCGAAGTGTGCACAACTATGAGAAAGCCCCGCTCCGCCAGGTGCACCACCACCGCAGCCCCCGTTTGAACCATATGCCGAAACTCACACAAGTTTAAACGGGTAGAAGCCTGTGCTCTTGTGCTGACAGCAGGAACTTTTGCCAAAGCCCCTCAAGTCGCGGGCCGGGATGCTCCAGAAGACTCCTTCATGACTGCTCCCGACGGTACGCGCCCTGCTGCCTCCCGGCTTGAACCAGCAAAACAAATGCCAGCTTGGGCCGAGACACGACTTGAGGGAGGAGGAGGAGGAGGAGGAGGAGGAGGAGGCGAAGAATGGGTAGAAGAGGGAGGAGGATGAAGATTATGCAGAATACGGTTGTTACAGGAAGTCGTCGGTATGGCTTGTATACCACCAGTGTGTCTTCGGGCAAGATGCAGAAGACACGGCCCATGATCTATGTCGCGCAGGTGTCCATGCCCGTGCGCATACGCGTGAGTGTGCGCACGGGCTTGCATACAAAGTGCGTTGTACAACCACACACACACACGCACACATAGATGACATACATCGAGATATACTTGTATATTGGTAGGTGTATGAGCGTGCGCTCTGGTTTGCATGTGCACGTGTGTGCGTCGCTCTTCACTGCTTTGCGGCGCATCCTATGACAAGGGTTCAAGTATAGACACGTTGGGCGAGTGGAGACCGGTGCAGCAGGCGGAGGATGCATGTTTTGCTTTTTTGTGGCCACGTGCCTCTTCACCCCCGGGGCCTGACAAGCTGGCGGCTCAACATGCGCACAGTGTGCCCCCAACCGTGCACGTCGTCTCGCAGTCATCTCCGTGGGCTCCCGGAGAAGCCCCTCCGAGGCTCGATCCCTCCGCTGGCCTCCTCCGTCCCCCCCCTCCTCGTCCTTCCGCTCCGCCCTGGCCGCCCCCTCCCTGGGGCGGGAAGCACAGAAGAGAGGAGCCGCTCGTCCCCCCTGGCGGAAACGTTCTATCCACCCTCGTCCGCTTGTTTGACGTTGCTCGGGCTTCATGCCAAAACACGCAGCATTCTGGCCCTCATCTACTGTGCTGCCTCCTCTTCATCCTCCTGCTCCTCCCCCACCACGGTCCGCGTTCCTGGTATACCCTGTCCACCTCCTGCCCCCTGCTCGCCTGGGGCCTCCCCTCATCGTCCCCTTGCTCCTATCGCTGCAAAAGGCCCCATCCGAGAATCCCCCAGAGCATCCAAGAAGCCTCTTGGCTCCTCCTCCCCCCCCCGTCACAGCCGAGACGCCGAAAGAAAGACCGCCTCGGGCTCGGGGGTGGCTCTGGTTGTCGCGCTGCTCCCCAGATGTGGGTCGTGGAGCCCCTCCGCGGGCCTCCTCCCCGTGATGGGAAAGCGCTGGGGAGGCGGGGGGGTGCGGCGTTTTCCACCGCTTTCAACTTTTCTGGCGGCGTTCGGCAAGCTCCAACGGGGGAAACGGCAGCTACCCAAGACATGAGAAAACAACCGTACAGCACGGAGCCGAGCCGAAACCAGCGCGAACGAGAATCCCACAACTGAGAAAAAACGGCGATCTGGAGAACTGGACAAACATCGCCCCAGAATGTGTTACCTCATCCAAGCGCCCCTCCCCTGACTCAGCGGCCCGACGTTTGAGCCGCCTGCCCCCCCCCCCGGGCCTTTCGACCCATCCCTTCCCCCGCTACAGTCGGGGCGCTGAAGAGGGAACCCTTTTCCGTTAGGGAGGGGCCCCGTGTTCCTCAAGTGTCTCACAGTCTGCCTCAGGTTTTCCTCGGTCTTCGATGGGAGATCGAAGCTGAACTTCTGGAAGAAGAGGACCTCGCTCCTTACTTAGGGCTCCTGAGGTCAACGCCCCGACTGCACTCGTAAGAGTGACCCCCTTCGCCGGAGTGGCCACTGCTGCGGGTCCACAGGGACCCCCTGCAGCAGTGGCTTGCGCGCTCGGGCTCGGCCCCGCTATTCCGGCGGGAGGTGAGCAACTCCCAGGCGTGGAACCAGACACGAGGGCTCGGGCAGGACCGTCTCGGGCCGCCAGGCAAGTCAGAGGTCCTCCCCTGCACCCCCCCCCCCCCTCCCTGCTGGCAGATGCCCTGTCGCCCAGGGATCCTATGGCGGGTGCTTTTTGGCCAACAGCACGCAGCACGCCGCCCCGTGGACACCGGGAGGCCTCTCAGAGAGGAGACATCGCGAGAGGCATCACGGAGTGGCGGGGACGCCCGGGCGTGCCCACCGTCGCGTCGCCACGGGGACGGCAATGGGCAACTGTTTAGGATGGGGAACGACACGAGGGGGGATTGGGATTCCGACCGACTTCAGGCGTCCGTGATAGGGCTGCCGCCCGTTCACGGCGGCGCCAACATAGGCAAGTAGTTTCGAGGGGCGTGAGGCAGCAGTCGGCTGCCTTTTGAAATCTCACGCAGGATTCCGAAGCGCGCTGCGAGAGCGTGGAACGACGGGAGGCGGGCCCGGACACGGGCCCGCAGAACGAGGGCGCCGCTAGAGAACATGGCGTGAGACATTTGTCGCGATGGAGCCCGAGCCCCACGAAGTCCGTGTTCTCCACTCCGTCCTCCCCCGCACCCACCACGGCCTCTTCCTCCCCCCCCCCCTCCCTCATCACGGCCCCCCCCCATGGGGATGTGGGGATGGGGATGGGGATTAAACAGCGGCTGCAGGAGTACAGGGGGGGGGGGGGGGGGGGGGGAAAGGGCGGGAAGGAAGAGGAGGAGGCGGAGGAGGAAGAGGAAGGGCAGGAGGCGGAGCAGTTTCGAGGGGGATGACAGTGGACAGGCAATAGGAGGAGGTGGAGGCAGAGGCGTAGCCACGAGGGTGCAGTCGTTGCGCAAGGAGGAGGAGTAGGAGGAGGAGGAGGAGGAGGAGGAGGAGGAGGAGGAGGAGGAGGAGGAGTAGCAGGAGAAGAGGAGGAGGAGGAGGAGGAGGAGCAGGAGGAGAGCAGGAGGAGGAGGAGGAGGAGGAGGAGGAGGAGGACGGAAAGGAGGACGGAGGAGGAGGAGCAAGATGAGAAAGAGGAGGACAGGAGTAGCAGGCGGAACAAGAGGAGAGGAGGAGGAGGAGGAGGAGGAGGAGGAGGAGGATGAGATGAAGGAGGAGGAGGAGGAGGAGGACGGAAGGGGGAGAAGGAGCAAAAGGAGGAAGAGGAGGAGGAGGAGGAGGAGGAGGAGGAGGAGGAGAGGAGGAGCAGGAGGAGCAGGAGGAGCAGGAGGAGGGAGGAGGAGGAGGAGAAGGACGGGGAGGAGAAGGACGGGGAGGAGAAGGATGGGGAGGAGGAGACAGGAGGAGGGAGGAGGAGGAGGAGGAGGAGGAGGAGGAGGAGGAGGAGGAGGAGCAGGAGAGATGAGGAGGAGGAGGAGGAGGAGGGAGGGGAGGAGGAGGAGGAGGAGGAGGAGGAGGAGGAGGAGGGGTCATCAAGGGGAGCAGCACGAGGATGGACGAGGGGGGCGGGCGGCCAGGAGAGGCGGAAGGGCGCGGTGCGCGCGCGGGCAGGCGAAGGGCGCGCAGCTCAGCACTCGCCCCCGCGGCCGCCCCGCAGACCTCTCGAGAGCAGCCCGCGCGAGGGCTGCCGAGGGGCGCCGCCCTCGCGCCCTCTGCGGGAGGGCGCCAGCTGCGCACCTGCGCCGCTCTCGGCCAGGCGGGCCCCAGGCCCAGGACCGGTGCACACGCCTCCCTGGCCAACCTCCACCTCCTGCTCCTGGCTGCCGCTGCTGCTGCTGCTGCTGCTCCTCCTCCTCCTCCTCCTCCTTCTCCGCCTTCCCTTCTCCTCCTCCTCCTCCTCCTCCTCCTTCTCCTCCTCCTCCTCGCTGCTGGCTCGAGGGTCGAAAACGTTCTTATCATCATTATTAGTATTATTATGTTTCTTCTTCTCCTTCTTATTATTATTATCAATATTAATATTAATACTCTTATTATTATTATTATTATCCTCCTCCTCCTCCTTCTGCTCCTCCTCCTCCTCCTCCTCCCCCTCCTCCTCCTCCTCCTCCTCTCTCCTCCTCGCGGCTGGCTCCTGGGTCGAAAACGTTCTCTCCTCTCCTCTCTTCCTCCTCCTCCTCCTCCTCGCTGATGGCTCGAGGGTCGAAAACGTTTCTCCTCCTCCTCCTCCTCCTCCTCCTCCTCCTCCTCCTCCTCCTCCTCCTCCTCATCCTCCTCCACACCGATCCTGGGCCCTGGATAGGCCTGGCCAGGATCGGTGCAGGTGCATGCCCAGACGCCCGACGATGCGACGTCTTCAGTGCGCCAGGCCAGAGGTTCCGGCCCCTCCCCTGCCCTTGGGGGGCTTGTTCGTCCTGGGTCCGCTGTTGATGGTGCCGGGCCGATGCAGGCGCCGAGCTCGAGCACGAACGCCGGCACGTTAGAAGACAGCCTCGTCGGGGAACTGGGTGGTTGGCGTCCTCCCACCTCCCCCCTCCCCCCCCTTCACCTGCGGGCTTGCCCCCGCCGGCGCTGGCTGGCTGCCGCCGCGAGGGGGCGCCCCTGGCGGGCCCGGGGCACACCAAGGGCTGGCGCCCCGCCCGTCGCTCTCGCCCAGGCTGCGGCTGCGGGCATGGTTTCTGATGGGCAAGGTTTCCACCACCACTACCACATGTAGGACGGGGGAGAGGGGAGGAGGAGGTCCTCCTCCTCCTCCTCCTCCTCCTCCTCCTCTTCCTCCTTCTCCTCCTTCTCCTCCTCCTTCTCCTCCTCTTCCTCCTCCTACCTCTCCTACCTATGGTAGTGGTGGTGGAATATGGGCCCATCAGCTTCCGCGAGAGAGGGGGGGGGGACGCAGGCGAACGACAGCGGGCGATTTCTCGCTCCCCGGTCCCGAGTTCCCCGGGGTATCAACGTCAGGGGGGACACGTTCATCGACTACGCGTAAGAGTGGCCGTTCGCTGGAGTGACCTCTGGTGCGGGCCCAGTGTGGTCCCCGGATCGCCGAGCGCGATGCGATAGGAGCGTCTTGCGCGCTCGTGTTTCGTCGCCCCGCGGCCCCCAAAGAGCCGCGCACCCAAAGGTCACTCTTACCTCGGGTCACTCATGCGTGTAGCCGGGTTCAGGTGGGAGCGCATCGACCCGCAATCTCCAATTCATCGCCAATCGGGTCCTGGTACTATTAAGTCGGCCTGTCCCTCTGCAGAGGGAGTATTCTAAAATGATTTAAAATAGTCAGGGAACGATTTTTTGTACCAGGTTCGACTGTTTTGCATTTTTTGATTATTTATATTGCGAAGGCCGTACGGCCGGTACCGCCGACCCTGAATGGCGACGACGACGACGACGACGACGACGACGACGACGACGAGCGCTCTCGGGAGCCTCTTGGGGGTAGTTTGGGGGCCTCTTGGGAAGCTCTTGGGGGCCGCTTGCAAGCCTCGTGGGGACCTCTTGGGGCTTCCTGGGGGTCTCTTGGGGGCTTCTTGGGGGGCTTCTTGGGGGGCTTCTTCGGGACCTCCGGGGGCCTCCTGAGAGCTTTCCAGGCCGAGGGCTCGAGATGTCCGTTCGGGTCCCCCGTCCGAGCTCCTCCTTGGAGCCATCGTGGGTGCCTCTTCGGCTGTCTTGGAGGCCTCTCGGTCGGTCTTGGGGCCCTCTGGGGTCGTTTTGGGGCTCTCTTGGAGGCCTCTTGGGCCATCTCGGGGCGGTCTTGGGGCCTCTTGGCCTGTCTTGGAGCGTCGGGAAGCTGACAAGGGGAGAATGCCGAAATCTGTCAAACAATGATGGGAAATCTATGATTCTTGCCCCTTGGGACGCTCTTGAACGTCCTCTTGGAGACCTCTAACCTTTTGAGCCGTCTGGAGGCTACTTTGGCGACTTGGACGGATACTTCGGCGATTCGGGGCCCTCGAGGACCGTCTTGGGGGCATCTTGGGGCAATGTTGCCGCGTCCTGCGGCTTTTCGTGGCCGCCCTACCGCCCGAGGGAGAGTCGCATCTGCCCCGGGACCCCCCGGGACCCCGGGACATCCCCCCCGGGACCCCACCCCCCCGGTGGGGAAGGGATCAAAGGGAAGGGGCTCCCCTTCGACTCACCTACAACGTTGCGCAATTTTGCTGTGGCTGGCGCGCTCGAGGAGGAGAACCCGGTGAAAGTGGGGGGAACGCCGACGGGCATAGGGAAAAGGGGGGAAGCGAGCGGCGAAGCTTACGACGACGACAACGACCACGACAACGATTTCTATTTATCGTCCACAATCCGCCCGACCTAATTCTACTACTCAGCTCAGGAGCGTGCGTGCGGTTTTTCGCTATCGGGGGGCCTGTCGCCGATCTGCCGGCGACGTATGGCGATTCCAGCTCGATGCTGCCCCTCCCCACCCTGAGACGGTCCCCCCCCCGGACCCAGTCGAGGAGGGAAGCTCGGGGATGCACTTCCACTCGGGGATGGACAGACCTCCTGCCCTGACACGTCGATTAAGGAATTGGCTGTTGTCAGTTCGCGAGCGGGCGTCGCGGCCGTCATTTTTGCGGGTCCAGGTCCGCCGGTTTCGGTCCCAGGCCGTTTTCACGAAAGGGAGGTTTACTAAAGGGAGGTTTGTCCACCGACGATCCACGTGCTGTTCGGACACACCGCGAATCGAGGATCGATGCCACCCCACCGTGTGCTCCTGAGTCGGGCCTTATATTCCAGCCGGGAACCCCATCAAGTCGGGGACTGGGGTCGCTGTGCCCGCGGGGCAATCGGCGATCGGGGTCCTGGAGGGATCGAGGTCCTGGACGCCTTCCTGGGGCCCGCACCTCCCTGAGCATGCCGTAAGGAGGCTCCGCGTCTCTGTGGGCGCGGGTTGCCGCAGAGCTTCTGGCCTGGGAGGGCCCCCCCGTGCGGGATGCAGATCTCCGACGGCACGATTCGTCAGTCCCGGGGGCCGCTCTCGGGCCCATGGGGCCCTCGCATGGCATCCAGCCTGGGCGATAAGATCGACCCCCCGGGGCAGGGGCCGGCCGGGACCTCACTGGGCCCTGGAGCCAACGGGGCGCGCACGGAAAGCTCGCATCGTCGGGCGCCTGCAGGAGGCTTTCGGGGGGTGGCCCGGCTCTGGGCGGCCTCCGCGGCCCCAGGGCCTCCAGGCGCCGAGGGGCCCCCGGCCGGCGTCGCTCGCCGCCCGGGTCGCTCCACGGAGGGCCTCTCGTTCGGGGGCGGGAAAGAGGGGGGTGATGACGAGGGGGGGTGGATATCATGGCGGGGGCCATGATATCTCCCCAGATTTCATGGCGCCTCTTCTTACTTCATTACGTCCCTGGCCCCCCCCGCTGGGCCGCGCACATGCCGCCGGTCATGATTTGCACCCCCCCTTCTTGGACACCCCCCTCTTGGCCGCTCCCGAATCGAGAAGCTGGAACGTCGCACTCGGCGGAGAGGCGGAAGGCCGCCCCCGGCGGAGAACGGGTCCCTTTTCCAGGGCTGGGCCTCAACGCTGTTTCGCTGGGCGCCGGCTGCGTCTTGTTCTGCGTCTTGGCAGGGAGGCACGGGGAGAGAGGTAGAGCAAAACGAGCAGCGAAACGAAACCATCACGAAGAGCAGCGTTTAGGTCCAGCCCTGCCCCCCTCTCTACGCCTTGAAGAGACGTGTTTGTCGTTGGTGGCTCAGGGTTTCGGGAACAGGCCGTTTGAGCACTGGGGGGTCGATCTTGGGCCCCGGGGCCACGAGTAAGTCGGGCCTGTCCCTTTACAGGAGGAGCATTCAAAAACAGTCCAAACATAGTCTGGGGACGATGTTTCGAGTATGTTTGAGCATTTTTGATAATCTTGGGCTATGTTTGTTTTCCCGTCCAAAATCCGTCTTTAGGTGGGCATGTCCGACCTAAGGCCACAAGAGAGCGCGACGGGCGTCAAGATGCCAGTCCCGTGGACGGGGCCGAGAGCTCGGGCGCGCACGGTGTGAGAGAACGCGTGACGTCGGCCGTCTGGAGACACGCTAACGGTGTGTTAGCGAACGGCGATGTAATCAATTGTAGGAAGCGGTGGTTCGAGAGTTCCTGCCCTCTGTTCTGCGCGAGCACGGTGTCACAACAACCAGATCCCCAACCGCACCGTTGACCAGCCACGCCGTCAGCGCGGCCTTGGCGTCTGGAGCCACGGGGCGCACGGGGCTGGGCACGTCGACAGCAAGATCGGATCTGCCTGCGTTGCGCTTGCCCCTCGTTGCAAGCCAGGCTGGTGACAGAGGCTCGGTGCGGCGAGATTGCATTGGGGGGCGGGGGGCTAGCAAGGAAGCCGCGACAGGTGGACAGATGGCAGACAGGAGGAGGTGGATTCGTGTGTGGCCTCTGCTTCGGAGGTCACTGCGTGGACTCGGTCGCTTCCTCTTCCCACGCGTGCTGGGGCGAGAGGCTCGCCAAGGAGGCCCACGGAGACCCGGAGCAGTGAACGGACTTCTCGCACCAAGTTCCCTCGTCGTCCAACTTGCGGCAAGAGTGAGCGAAACTCCTGGAGGAGATGGGAGGAAGTCGGCGCCCTCGTGTTTTGGGCCAGTACCCATGACTGTCACGAGCGAGGTCCGCAGTTCAAACCCAAGAGTCATCAACGATGTTGGGATAAACCCTCCCTCCAAGCTCCCTCTTCACAGGCCCCTACAACGGTTCATTTCCGTCGGGGGAATTGCCTCGTTGGAAGACAACCTTTTCAAGACCCTGAGGCATGCCAAAACATTGTTCCTGGGTTTCCAACGCCACTGTTCAACCTGACTGTTGCGTGTTGACGATCCGGAATAGTGCCAGAACGCCATTCCTGGGAATCCAACACAGCGAATCACCGTAATTGTTGCTCCCGAATAGTCCTGAATATTTCCAGAACACAATTTCCGGTACGCTGATGATGGGAATCCGCAAATCTTTCTTAATTTTTGCAAGCAAATGTGCGCGGCGCTGAGGCGAGAGCCACATGTTGAAAAATAACCGTCCTCATTCCGTGAAGCTCTTACATTGTTTAGAACGAATGCGTGCCGCGCCAAAGCGAGAGCCACATTTTGAAAACGACCCGCCCTCAATTCGTGAAACTTCTGCAACTGTTTAAAATGAATGTGCGCCGCGCTTGGGCGAGAGCCGCATTTTGAAAACCACCCGCCCTCAATCCGTGAAGATCTTACAAATGTTTAAATCGAATGTGCGCCGCGCCAAGGCGAGAGCCACATTTTCAAAACGGCCCGCCCTCAATCCGTGAAGCTCTTGTGCAAATTCTTAAGATGAGTGCGCTCTGCGCTGAGGCGAGAGCCACATTTTGAAAAGGAGCCGCCTTCAATATGTGAGTCACTTACAGATTGTTTAAACGAACGCGCGCCGCGCTAAGGCGAGAGCCACATTTTGAAAACCACCCGCCCTCCATCTGTGAAACCGCTGCCAATTCTCATGCTTCAGAATCATAAAGGGTGAGGAAGTCTCAAACGAGACGGTTCGCCCTAAAAACTTGCCTCGGGGTGCGACAGGGACACGTTATTCATAAGGAAAAGGGGAGGAGGGGGCATCGGAGGTCCCAGCGAGTCCGGCTGCCATCGACAGGCCCCCTCACGGCTCGCCGCGAGGCCGCCGGATCTCCGGGGGCTTTTGCGGCCGGCTCCGAGCTCTTGGGGCGCTCCGCGGGCCAGGGGGACACGCATTGGAAGGGACCTCTCAAGATATCGTCAGGCCTGCGCAGTGTCCATGAGAGCGAGAGCGCAACCGAGCACAGGAGGGTATGCAGGCAGCTGCGGAGCTCGGACATGCGGAGGCAAGGTGCGGACGACGCTGCAAAGGGCCCAGGAGAGCAGAGCACCGACAGCGCGAGCGCCAAAACTGCGAGTGGCCGGGGAGCCCCCGCGCCATGCCCACGGGATCCCCCGGGAGCGGCCCCCCGGGGTCTAGGGCCCGCTGCCCGATCGGGGCCCGCTTGCGTGGTGCCAGCACGGCGTCGTCGCAGCAGGCTGCTTCGGGGCCTCGTCGAGGCCTCGTCGAGGCCGCCCTTCTTGGGGGGGGCGGTTGGGGCCCGCCGAGGGTCTCGGGCCCGCCTCGGGCCGCGATGGTTGCGCCGAACTTGCCTGGAGAGGCTTGCTTAGGCCATCTTGGGGGCGTCTTGGCGGGTCTTTTGGGCCGTCCGGGAGCCTTCTTAGGACGGTAATTACTGGCTTTCCTTGGTGGGTTCTCTGGCAGTCTTGGGGCTACCTTGTGGCTGTATTGGGCTCAAAAGATTTTGCCGCCTCGTGTCTTGATGCACTGAAAGTTTCCCGAGGAGATCTCGGAAGTAAGCCACATTGATTTCCTCGGTGCCGTTCTATGCCGTTGGCCCCCCGTGGGCCTCGCGGAAGTCATCGCCCTCTTGAGGTCTCTTGGGGACATATCGGAGTCTCTCGGGGCTCGTTGGATCATCTTCGGCTGGTCTTCGGACATTTTGGAGCTGATTCGGGGCGGCCTTGGTTCGTCATGGAGCCATCTGCAGGTCGAAAAGGGCGCCATCCGAGGGAGGGCATTGTTGTTAGCCCGATTGCCCCGAAGGTTGGGGGGCATTGAAATTTGCACAACCCTACCTTCCAACTATGCATGCTACCACTCCACTACCGCGCAAGCGCCGTGGCGGATTCTCAAGCACAGAACAGCCTCTCACTCCGATTTGCGTCCGCTCGGGCTACGTATGGTCATCCTCCTCCGTCCTCCGTCCTCCGTCCTCCTCCTCCTCCTCCTCCTCCTCCTCCTCCTCCTCCTCCTCCTCCTCCATCGTCCCCCCCCTCCTTCTTGTTGCTCCTACTCCTCCCTTGTCGTCCTCCCTCTCCCCTCGCTAGCTAGTCCTCCCTCATCCCTCAGGCCCGACCGTCTCGACAAAAACACGACGGGCGTCCGTTGTCCCGCCCACGGCTTGGTTGCCATCGTCGACCGATCTGGGCTTGACGGGCGCGACGCGACGATGGTGTCGGGAGATCCAGCCGTGATCGTCCACGGTGCCCTGATTTTTCACGACGCCGGATATAGATGAGGGCGGGGGAAAGAGGAGGGGACGGAGCGCGAGATTGAGGGAGGAGGGGGAGGAGGAGGATTTGGAGACGATTTGGGGAGCAGCAGCAGGGAGAGGGGCTCCAGGAGGGGCAGCAGCAGGAGGGGGAACAGGAGGGCGAGGGCCAGGAGGGCGAGGGCGACGACGACGACGACGGCGACGACGGCCGAGCGACGACGACGACGACGACGACGACGACGACGACGACGGCGGCGGCCGCGGCGGCGACGGCGGCGGCGACGACGACGGCGACGGTGATGGCGACGGCGACGGCCACGACGACGGCCACTACGACGACAACGACGACGACGACGACGATGGCGGTGGCGGTGATGGCGGCGGCGACGACGACGAGCATGAGAATGACAGCAGGGCGGCGAGGAGGATGAGAGGGGGAAGAGGAGGGAGGGGGAGGGGGGAGGGGAAGGAGGGTTACATGCAGATGCTCGTCCCCGCAGGGGTGGAGGCCAGGAGCGTTAGCAGATCTCAGCTGCCCTGCCAGGTGGCATGGATCGCGACGAGATCCAGCACAAGTTAAGCAAGAAGGTGGCGCAGCTTACGAAGGTCATCTTCCACCTCAACACCAGGATTCATGCCCCTCTTCAGGCAGGGGGAAGGAGGAGGAGAAGAAGGAGGAGAAGGAGGGTACGGGCGTGGAGGAGGTTGAGGAGGTCTTATGCAGCTGCCTGCGGCAAGTCGCGCCACCGTGCCTGGGTTGTGGGTTATGGGCCTCCTGGATGTTCGTTGGGATATCGTGGGGGGGGCCTCTCGCGGGCCTGTTGGAGGCAGTTTTGAGGTCTCTTGGGGGCCGTCTGGGGGCCTTTTTGGGGCCTCTTTTGGATCTTTCGGGGGCCTCTTAGGGGCCTCTCGGGGCCTCCTGGAGGCCTCTTCGGGCGGAAGGCTGGGATTGACGGTTCGTGCTTCCTCTCTTGGGCCCCTTTTGGGGCCGTCTCGGGGCTCCTTTGGGCTGT